ATTATATATAAGGTATGTTGACACCAAATTCACATCTTCATACATATATTTTGTATAATGATGAGGGTCTCCTTTCACTATCCATACAATTCCCCTTCTCCCTCCCTTTCCCTCTCACCCATAATCACTATCTAGAGGTAATCTTCCTCCCTTGCTTATTTATTTTTTTATCCAACACTCTTTATTTTCCCAGAATGTTTCCAAACAATATATTAGAAAACCTTATATATGTCATGAAATGCTTATTCCTGGGTACCTCCCATGGTCCAGTTTAATCATTCCTCTTTGGACTGTTCCTGTCCATGTACCTGGTCACTGTTCTTGGAAACATGCTCATCATTCTGGCTGTCAGCTCTGACCTCCACTTCCACACTCCCATGTACTTCTCTCCAACCTGTTATTGGCTGACTCTGTTTCACCTCATCAGGGTCCCAGGAATGATTGTGAACATCCAAAATCACAATAGAATCATTTCCCATGTGGACTGCATTACACAGATGGCTCTTTTTTTTCTTGTTTTTTTGAAGTAGAGATGGTATGTTGCTGTCATTGCCTAGGACATGTTGTGGCCATGAATTTCTCCCTGCATTACCCAATCATCAAGAACCCTTGACTCCGGGTTTCTTAGTTTGGTGTCTTTTGGTTAGCCTTGGGACACTAAGGTGCACAATTTGATTGTATCATAATATTTTTACTCTATGGGTGTAGAAATTTCCAATTCTTCAGTGATCCTTCTCATCTCTTTAATGTCACCTGTCCTGATACCTTCTCTAATATCATTGTCAAGTATTGTGGCATATTTGTGTTTTTCCCATCAGGGATTCTTTTATCTTTCTAAAATATTGTCTCCTCCATTCTGAGAATCCCATCACCATGTGGGATGTATAAATGCTTCTGCAACTCTGGTTCTCTTCTGTCAGTTGTTGGCTTATAATGTGGAATCATCATTGGAGTGTGCCTTGGTTCAGTTATGTCAATATCCCAGAAAGTGTTTGGTGACCTTTGTCATTTATACCGTGTTCATCCTTACCCTGAATCCCTTCAACTACAACCTGAGGAACAGAGACCTAAAAAGTGTCCTAAGGAGACTCCACAGCAGAATTGTCAAGACCTGAGCAATCAGAGGACAGAGGAGCTAGAAGTCCAGGTGGCAGGACACACCTGGATAGCAAAGAGAGAGAGTCTGCAATGCCCATACAAGGGACAGCAGTCCAAACCCTATCTTGCATAAGCAGATGGAGTCTGACAAAGACTTGCCCTAAACTGTCTCCCCGGTGGGATTGACCTAGTCCTAGTCCTAGTAAGCCCTTGGTGGGCAGCCTGGGAGAGCGGGGGTCAGGGTAGCCCAGTGTTGGACAGGACACCATGGGAGACAGACCCCCATGTGTTTTCTGGCTCATCTCCATCTCTCAAAGCATTTGGACATGCACACAGCTGGAGGAGATCTCCCTGGTGGAGAACTTTGGAAAGCTCCCTCTAGTGAGACTGGGCAGGGGTGGCAGGGTTGGGGTGGGGACTGCCTTGAGAAAGCAGCTGAGGAAAGGTTTCTTGAGCTTGTAAACATATTGAGCAATTCTCTAGTATACAACATCAGCACACAAAAACCAGGTGCTTTCTTACATGTCAATAATGAATATGTTGAGAAAGAAATCAGGAAAACAGTTCCATTCACACTAGCCTCAAAAGATCTTCAGAATTAATTTAACCAAAGAGATGAAAGACCTCCTCAAAGAAAAGTATGGAAGGCTGGAAAAAGTAAGAGAGAAGACACCAGAAAATGGATGCCGCAGTCTGGCTGGGCACAAAATAACCGAGCCACCACAAAAGGCTTGTAGATTCCAACAGTAACTCTTTTTTCCTGAACTCTCATTGGCACTCTACACGCATGTCCTGGGAAAATACACTCCCTCCACCAGGTTCTGGGTACCAATACTCTCAGAACCCCGTGAGAACTCCAGGGGAACTCAAGGAGTGGGCGCCTGAGGCAGCAGGATAAGCCCTATTCCCAGCAGGATCCACCCTTAACCTAGAGCCACCCTAATCCAGCAGGATCCACCCTAAACCTGGAGCCACCCTAATCCCTGAGCAGGGTCACCTTTCAACCAAAAATGCCATGCATCATTCTTACTTGGCTATGGCTCTCAGCAAATGGAAAGCCCTCCCATGTTCAGAGTTAGGAAAAATTAATATTGTTAAAATGGCCACATTACCAAGCAATCTACAGGAGTCAATGCAATACTCATCAAAATATAGTTCTGAGAAGAACTGGAAATAACAGTTCTACAATCTGTGTGGAAGAACAAGAGACTCAGAATAGCCAATGCAACTCAGATGCAGAATAACCAAAGCAGAGTAGAGCTGGAGGCATCACAATACTCAATATTGAAATACTGAAATCCTTCAGGATTTAGATAACACAGATCAATTTGTCTAATTATGAGCTTTTTGCATTGAACCTCCAAGGTCATATGAATGTCAATTATCAGTCTGTAGCCCTTCAGCTTGATCTATTTGATCCGCTGGCCTCCATGGTCATGTTTCTTCCTTCCAAGGTTCTGCATCAGGAACCTCCTATTTGAGACTGAATTGATAGCAATCTTAGGGACTGAGCAGGCACTCAATGGGCTCCAAGCAGGAGAGGGGAGTTCGATCTGTGTTCTTTAGTTATAACCCAGCAGAGATGCACCATACACTAGTGAATTCTGAAGTAGACATTGGATGGAGGAAGGTCCATTAGAAATGTTTCCTCCTCCTCAGGTCAAACATCACACTTTGACTAGCTAAACTGGACAGTCAGGAAACTAGCTGTGCAGGTTAAAAATCTAAGTCAGGAAAACAGTTGTAAAAGCTTGAAACTCTTTGTTACTGGGATAATAATCCAGAGCCCAGAGCCCATTTGTTTGCCTTCCCCTCCAGGATACTGGGAAAGGAGGAAAGACCAGAGAGAGCACAAGGCACTTTGTTTGCCTTTTCTCTCCCAGGACCCATTGTCCTCCCTCAGCCTGGGGGGTTGTCATTTCCCTTTTCTAGGGAAATGTTGTTTTCCATATTCTTCACTTATACATAGAATTAACCTTTTAAACACCCTGTTTCCACTGCTCATGTCTACCTAGAACCACCACCATGTTCCTTGGCATATAAATTTCCAATTATCCGTGCTGTATTCAGAATTGAGTCCAGTTCTATACTGAGGTCTCTACTCCCCTACTGCAATTGTCCTAAATAAAATTTGTTCTGGGGTAGGGGTATAGCTTAGTGGTAGAACACTTGCCTAGCATGTGCAACACATTGGTCCGATCCCTAGCATTGAAAAAAAAATTTTCTTTACTGCTTTGTAAGGGTGAAGCAGACCAGTTAGTCCCATCCAAAAGACCATTGCCACAGTTAAGCTTCTTTCCTTGTCAGAAAGAATTTTACCAAGGGTGTCAATAGGATATCAGCAAAAATTTCTGTGGTTTGTAGCTTCCTCTTTCTTATAAATGCCAGGTTTGCAGACAAAATTTGTGAAACCTCTGTCTAGCCTAAAAATGTGGGACAAAGAGTAACTGTTATGTACCCATCCGGTGACATGTAACCACCCCACTGAGTATAAGTCTAAAAGAATTTTCAGATTCAGGGTCCAAAGCTTTTTAGGCATTAGCCTCCTCTGGACTGCTGCAGCTAAAATAAACCTGATTTCTGGTGTCCAGCCACATCTGTCCTATATCAAGGAGACAGACAGATTTAGATGTAAGGTGTAAGGGGAAAAATAGATGAAGATGGTGGGAACACAAGGTTCAGAGAATAATTCTATAAAATGAGTTCACTGTACTGATTCTCCACATGCTTTCTTTGCTAAAAAGCAATCTGCCTTCAGCCCTACCTGGCCTCGGGGGACAGGAAAAACACATTCCTTGCTTTTTTTGGCTATACCTTTTGTTTCTTAATCTATTCTTTAGGTTTGGACAGGAGAGTCTGTTTTTTTACAGACATGACATCATAAATCAAGTTGGAGTAAACTATTATGAACTTAATAGTTTCATATACATTGTATAATATTTATCAAAACTACTGATAAAATGTCTTCACAAAGCAGATTCAAAACAGGACTTGATAAAAGCCACAAACTACAGCTAACATGGGAACCTTGGTGATTATTATTAACCAAGACAAGAATACCTTCTTTCTTATCTGACTTATAGTTAGGAGGCCCTGCACAAACAAGAAGAAAAATAAACGACTCATGAATATTATAATAACAAAAATGCACAGGAAATATTATTTATATTTAAGTCCAAAATAACGAACTTACAGATATTAAAGTTCAGCAAGGTTTCCAGACAGAAGGACCTAATTAAATACTTTTCAATAGCTTTCCTCTAGCAGAGCAATATCAATAAAACAATGAAAGGGAAAAGTAAAGACCTAAAGGACTGAATCAATGGAAAAGAGTTTATCGCACAGGTTGGTAGACTCAGAGTTTTAAGTATGATGGCCTGTGGACAGGGCTCTAGCAAGGGTATTAACGCATTTGATGAGCATGATACTCCCAGGCTTCCGTGAACCTGTGTGACAGGCTCTAACCTTAGCCCCGCCTCTAGGAACTTCCAGGGGTCTCGCTTGGCAACCAGGTCCCATCTTACACCCAACCTCTGGAATATTAAAAGCCACGACCCTTGATCTGGTCTCACCTGAGTCCACTGGGCCGGCCTAGCCTGGTCCCTCCCCAGCCTCGTCCACGGTTCTGGTTCTCTTTTTACCTACAAGCCCAGGGAAAATTAGCTCGTTCCACGCGCTGATGGATTGAGCCGTGGCCCGCCCAGCTCCCGAAGCCCCGCCCCTTACGCAGAGCGTTTCTCAGAATGGGGAGGGGGTAGCGGGAGGCAGAAGAACGCGTCTGCGCACGCGCGAGGTAGCTCACTGTGTGCTTGAGGCCGCCATGACACTTTAGGCTGCAGCTCGCGTGAGAGATATATTCTTGCCTCAGTCCTCATCCTATCCGTCCCAGCTCCCATCCCCGCGCCATCCAGGTATGGTCCGCGGGAGGCGGAAGGCTGGTTTCTTCTCTTCCGCCGCCGCATCCTATCCGTCCCGGCCCCGCGCCATCCAGGTATGGGTCGCGGGAGGCGGAAGGCTGGCTTCCGCTCGTTCGCCGTCCCCGGGCCCCCTTCAGCCGCGCGGCCCAGAGTCCGGTCGGCTCCGCCGGCGCCGAGCTCGTCCCGGTGACCGCATCGGGGATTCCGGGCTTCGCCAGCGGCGGGCGCGTCTCCTGCCGGCTGGAGCTGGAGAGCCCCGCGACCTCTCCCTGCGGAGAGCAGAAGCCTCGGCTGCGTCCGGGTCCCGGTCCGGAGCCTCGTGCGAGTCTGCTGGTCTGCACACACCCAGCGTGGGGTGAGCTCGGCCCGCTGCCCCTGGGCCTCGCTCACTGTCTAGCGCGGGTCTGAGAGTTCCCCGGGGGCCTGGGGCATGTTTGACACATTGCATTCAGGTACACAAGAGGGAGCTGATTTTAAAATACTTTTGACCCGCCTCCGGGCAAGTGCATTTCATCCTTAATAAAGTGATACATTTTAGCCTGGCGCGGTGGTGTACGCCTGTAATCCCAGCTACTTGGGGCTGAGGTAGAACTTGATCCCAAGTTCAAGGGCAGCCTGAGCAATTTAAGCAGGCCCTATCTCTACACAAAAAATTAGAAGGACCAGGGGTGTACTTAAGTGGTAGAATGCCCCTGGGTTCAATCCCTAGTACTGCAAAATGCAGGGAGAAAGAAAAAAAAAAAATCTTGGTCACTTATTTATAGATTCTTTCAATTTTGCACAGAAAATGTGCCAGTTTGAATATTTTTCTCCTAAATCTTTGTGTTTTCCATTTTTTTGTTTCTAATTACTGCACTTGCCAGGACTCCCAGCTGAATGGAGATTAGCATATAATTTTCATTCTTGCCTTGTTCCTGATTTCAGAGAAAATTAATCAGTATTTCACTATTAAATAGAATTTAATAGTTTTTTAATGTATAAAATTTTTTAATGTATAAAATTTTTTAATGTATAATTTTTTAATGTATAAAATCTAATCCTTTCTAATGGCCTAAGTTATTATTAGCAATGTACACTGAAATAGATTAGTCATTGCTTTGTGTCTAAGGGAATATGTCAAATAACCTTTCTATGAATACTGTGAATTTCATTAATCAGTGATTCAATTTTTGTTTATTTTATTCTTGTGGCGCTGGGATTGAATCCAAGGACTCAACGCTAGTAAGGCACCGTACCACTGAGTCCCAGTGATTCAGTTTTATTCTTTTTTTCCTTTTTTTAGTGATTCAGTTTTTAAGCATCCATCATTCCTAGGATGAAATGAACTTAAATTGTGATTTATACTTATTGTTCATTTTTCAACTGTTACCAATACTTTTGTATTATTTGTACTTTGTATGTGATCTGGCATATTTTTTAGTTGTACCCTTCTGGTGTTGGAAGTAGGAAATTACCTTCCCTCTGTACACTGGAATTATGAATTTCCTACTTATTTTGTGAAATTTTCTGTAAAACAATTTGCAACTTCTGTTTCCTTGTGCATGTTTTAATATGATTCTTTTAATGACTGGATACAATGAAATTTTCTTCTTCCTCCTCCCCCTCTTCTACCACTACCATCACCACCCACCACCACCACCACCTCCACTACCTCCACTACTTCTTCCTTTTCCTCTTTCTCATCTCTTCTAGAGTCTACCTCTTTTAGTTCCTGTTACCTCCCAGTAGTCCATTCAAACTCTTAATCCATAAAATGGATTAATCCACTGATGAAGTCAGACCCCTTATAATCCAATCGCTTCCCCCAAGTCCAAACTCTGAACACTGCAGCACTGGAGACCAAGCCTTCAACACATGAGGCTTTGAAAGACATCCCAGATTCAAACCATAACAAATAGGTTGATTCTCTTTTTCAGAAATTAGGTTTTGTGGAGCCCATTGGGTGGGGTTGGGATGACAGCAGTGTTCAGGGCTTTGTAGTAATGCCTATTATCGTGTAAAATGGTAAACAAGTAAAAATGTTGGTCATGGAGCCCCAAGAAGCCTAGTGTTTAAATAAATTAGTGCTTTCTTAGATATGAGTCAGGGAATATATATTCTTAGGGTTGAAGGCACCACTTGATACATTTCATGCTTTTTGTTATGGGGAAATGGACAGCCAGATGTTCTTAAGACTTGAGTTAATTTACTAATAAAACGTTACTATTAACCTCTTTTGTATCATTGACATGGATAAGAGTGTTTTTTTGTATCTCTAGGGGAGAAAGGATTGTTCCAGTTTCACACAAGTTCAGTTTGTATTTACTTGGGAGTCATGGTATGTGTTTTGAGTTGTCACTGGTAATGGATGTGCTACAATATCCAGGCTCATGAGTATGGGAATTCTCTGGAGGGTTGGATTCCCATGTCAGCTCCTGTCTTACCTATAACTTCTCAATGTCTTACTTTTCTTTATGAAGGTGACATGGAGGAAGAAAGAATAAGTGTTGGGTTACAGAAAAGTATGATGCAGGTAAGTAAAAGGTATAATGCTCTAAAAGAATATTTCTATTTCATTTGATATCCTGCTGCTATTTTAGAGCATAGGTTAGCAATCTGCTTCTTTTTTTTTGTATCACATGGTAAGTATTTTAGGTTTTGAAGGTCATAGATTTTCTATTACAAGGAAATTGTCATTTTAATACAAAAAATATTCATAGAGGAACATAAACAAATGTTTTATTGTATTGCAATAAAACTTTACTTACATAAGTAGGTGATATGCTAGAGTAAGTGCATGTGCTATAGTTTGGTGAGCCCTGGCCACAATACTATAAAACCGAGCCAGCTGTGGGCCTGACTTGAAAGATGTGCAGGCTCTTGGGCCTCTCAGGATTGTGAGGGGGGAAAAAGGAAAAGTTCCCATTCACTCTTTGTGTTTTCATTCATTAAAACCATCAAGATTTAAACCTGAGTTTGATGTTGTGCTCAGTGCCTTAATAGGAATAAAGTAGCAGGTGAAGTTATTCTTGAATAAGGAAGAATTTCTGAATAAGGAATAATATGATATTGTCCAATATGTGGTCTTGGTCCCATATCCTGGCATAGAGTTCCTAAAACCCTTCAAATGTCTGGACTGATAAGAGTAGCTTTGTATGATGACTGTTGACCAGGACAGATAGCCTCAGGATGACTGCTGGTCCAGAAGAACTAAGGTATGCTTGACTCTTCAGCCCTATCCACTAACCTTGAAGTTGAGAGGTACTGAAGGTTAAATTGATTATTTAAATTGCTAATTTAAATCAGCCATGCTTTCTAGTAAAGCCTCTGTGAGAACCCAAAAAGAATGAATTTAGGGAGCTTCTGTATAGCTGAATATGTAGAGGTTCCTGGTATGAGGCACCCCAATAGGCATGGAAGTTCTGCAGCTTTTCCTACCCTGCTATGCCATATATATTTCTTTATCTGGATAGTTCTCTGTATTTATAAGAAACCATAAGCACAAGGAAGTGTTTGCTTAGATTCTATAAGCCATCCCAGCATATTAGCTAACTCAAGGAGGGTACAGTGGGGACCCTGAGATGTAGCCATTTAGTCAGAAGTATAAATGACAATGTACTAGTTTTTATGTTGCTTGAAGTATAGGGAAGTTTTGTGAGACTGAGCCCTCAACCTGTGGGATGAAGCTCTCCATGTAGATAGTGTAAGAATGTTAATGAATAACAGGAAACCTAGCAAGTGTCTGTTGCAGAACTGCTTGATGTGTGTGGAAAATTACCCACCTACCTAATATCCAGTATTCTTTACAGGTTCGAAGGAAAATAACTTTGATTTTTTTTTTTCTTATTTCATTACCATCAACTGCAAAGAGACTAATGTAGTATTTTAGAAGTATTTTGGCTTTTAGACAGGATTTGTTCAGTCACTAAGTATGTGTGAGTAGAAAGGGAAAGAGATCTGCTGATGGAGTCCTGACATAGACTTGGGGAGACCACAGAATCTTCTGAACCTCCCCTGAATTGATTTTCAGGTCCCCAGTGCTGTCAGCCTCACCCACCATCTCGCACACACTGGAGGAATTGTACCTTTCTGAACAGAATTTGTGGCATCTTTTAGGACTCGGTGACCTTTGAGGATGTGGCTGTGGACTTTACCCAGCAGGAGTGGGCTTTGCTGGATCTTGCTCAGAGGAGCCTCTACAGAGATGTGATGCTGGAAACCTTTCAGAACCTGGTCTCACTAGGTAAGATTGGCAATGTTGGTTCATGTAGTAAGTTTAGAAAACAGTTTTATCTACTAGTTGACCTTCTTCCAGAATCTGTGCTGAGGAGTGGGAGTACTTAGTAAATAAGACAAACGTGGTCACTGACCACAGGGTACTTACGATCTGGAGGCTTCTTCATGAAAATGAACACAGGCATATTAAACTTATTTTTTCGTTTTCTTTTTGTGGTTGAAAGCCTGAGGCTTATTAAGGGTTGAATGTGTGGGCATTGAGGGGCTTCTCTGGGGCACAGGGATAGTTTGTGATTTGAGACCTTTGAAGAGTCTACTGCCGCGAATGCCCTTTACCCAGAGACCACCAGGAGCACACCTGTAAGTTAAACAAGTGGGGTTTATTTTGCAGTCATGTGAGAACATACCCATGGGGAGTCGAGGGGCGTCTTAGTAAGAGGGCGTTAGAAAGTACCTATTAGAGAATTTGTGCTTTTTGGATGATTTAGAGATGAGTCTATGGGGTAGATTATATTGGTTTCTTAGGCCCTCTGTGAACAAGTACCATAAAACTGGTGGGTAAAAAGTATAGAAATTTATTCTTTCATATTTCTTGCATCTGGGAGTGTGAAACCAGGTGTCAGCACAGCTATATTCTTTCTAAAGGCTCTAAGGAAAAAGTCCCTCCCTGTCTCTTTCTAGCTTCTGGTGGTTGCTGGCAGTCCTTTTTGTTTATAGATGTATCACTCCAGTCTCTGCCTCCACCATTACCTTCCCTGTTTACCTGTTTCTAATCTCTGTCCATATAGGGACATCAGTCATTGGATTTAGGGTCCATATTGATCCAGAATAACCTCATCTTAACTTTACTATATTGACAAAGATCTTGTTTCCATATAAGGCAACATTCTGAATATGGGTGAACATTTTCAAAATAGTCTTTAAAAAAATGTATGTGTTGTATGTACATTTGTACGTATGCACATATGTATGTATGTATGTGTGTGTTTATGTGGTACTGAGAATTTAACCCAGGGGCTCCCTACCACTGTGCGAAATCCCCTGCTCTTTTTTATTTTGTGAAAAGGGTCTTGCTAAGTTGCCCAAGTTGGCTTCAAATTTGGGATCTTCCTGCCTCAGCCTCCTGAATAGCTGGAGTTATAGGTGTGCACCACCATGCCCCAGAGTAACAGGCTTTAATTTTTAGAGCAGTTTCAGTTTCAAAGCAAAATTAACTGGAAGGTAGAGAGATTTCTAACAACTGCTGTCCTCACAACACAGACAGCCCCTTTCACTATGAACATCTTCCACCAGAATGGTCCATGTTTAATTTACAAATGATGAACGTACATTGACACATGTTCATCATTAACTAGAGTCCGTAGCCTATATTAAGGTTCATTTGTGGTGTTGTACATTGTATGGCTTTGGGCAAATGTACAATGACATGTACCATATATATATATTCAGTAATATATAGAGTAGTTTTATTCCCCTAAAAATTTTCTGTGCTCTCACTTTTTAATCCCTTACTCTCTCTTAACCCTTTCGCAGCCACTGGTCTTTATATCATCTGTATATTTTTTATCTTTTGTGGAATGTCATAAAGTTGGAATTTATTTCGTATTTAGCTTGTTCAGATTGGCCTATTTCACTCGGTAATGTGCATTTAAGTTTCGTTCATGTCTTTTTATGATTTTTCTTTTACTGTTGAATAACATTATGTAGTATAGATGTGCCACAGTTTATTTATCATCCCGTTTACTAAAGGGCATCTTGGATGCTTTCAGGTTTTGACAAGTATGAATTATGCTCTCATAAACATGTGTAGCCTTTTGTGTGCAGTTTTGACTCCTTGGATGAATGCCAAGGGACACAATTTAATTGCTGGATCATATGGTAAGAAGAGTTTTTTTTTTTTAAAATATTGATTTTTTAGATGGACACAATATCTTTATTTATTTATTTTTATGTGGTGCTGAGTATTGAACCCAGCGCCTCACATGTGCTAGGCGAGCGCTAACCCCAGCCCCATGGTAAGCGTATTTTTAATTTTATAAGAAACCACCAGATTGTCTTCGTAAGTAGCCGTACCATTTTGCATTCCCATCAGGAATGAATGAGAGTTCCAGTTTCTCTACATTTTTGCCCATATTCGGCATTGTCAATTTTTTGGATTTTGGCTGTTCAAAAAGGCGTGTAGAGGTGTGTCACTGTTTTGTTTTTCCTGGGTGATTTTAGGATGTGGAGCGTACTTTTACTTTTTTACTTGCCATTTGTCTGTATTTGTTTAAGTGTTTGTTTAGGTCTTTGGCTATATTTTTATGGTATTTTTTTGTTCTCTTATTATTGATCTTTAAGATTTGTTTGTATAACGTAGCAAAAGAAATGATAAAGTGCGAAGAGACAGCCTTCAGGATGAGAGAAAATCTTTTCCACCTAATCCTCTGACAGGGGATTAACATCCAGAATATACAAGGAACAAAATAATTCAACAGCAGAACAAAACAAACAAACAAACAAAAATCCCAAAGCAAACAAAAACCAAATAACCCAGTCAAGAAATGGGCAAAAGGGACTAAACAGATTTTTCAAAAGAAGAAATGTGGGCTGGGATTGTTGTTCAGCAGTAGAGAGCTCGCCTAGCACGGTAGAGAGCTCACCTAGCACGTGCGAGGCCCTGGTTTGGATCCTCAGTACCACGTAAAAATAAATAAATAAAATAAATATATTAAAAAAAAAAGATTATTTGTTAAAAAAAAAGAAGAAATGCAAATTGTTGATTGATTGTGTTTCTTCTTCTGTGAAGTGTCTATTCAGTTCCTTAGCCCATTTATTGATTGGGTTATTTGTTTTTTTGGTGTCAAGTTTTTTGAGTTCTTTATATATTGTAGAGATTAATGCTTTGTTGGAGTTGCATGTGGTAAAGATTTTCTCCCAATCTGTAGGCTCTCTCTTCACGTTATTAATTGTTTCCTTTGAGAGAAGAAGCTTTTAAATTTGAATCCATCCCATTGATTATTTTGACTTTGCTTCTTGCATTTTAGGAGTCTTGTTAAGGAAGTTAGATCCTAATCCAATGTGGTGAATATTTGGGCCTATTTTTTTCTTCTATTAGGCATAGGGTCTCTGTTCTAGTGCCTAAGTTTTTTATCTACTTTTAGTTGATTTTTTGCGCAGGGTGAGAGATAGAGGTTTAATTTCATTTTGCTACATATGGATTTCCAGTGTTTGCCGTACCATTTGTTGAATAGGCTATCTTTTCCCCAGTGATTGTTTTTGGCATTCTTGTCTAGTAGGAGATAACTGTATTTATGTGGGTTTGTCTCTGTGTCCTCTATTCTGTATCATTGGTTGATACAAGTCTATTTTGGTGCCAATACCCTGCTGTTTTTTGTTACTATAGCTGTATAGTATAGTTAAGATCTGGTATTGTGATGCCACATGCTTCACTTTTCTTGCTAATGATTGGTTTAGCTATTCTGGGTCTCTTATTTTTCCAAATAAATTTCATGATTGCTTTTTCTATTTCTATGAAGAATGTCATTGGGATTTTAATAGGAATTGCATTGAATCTGAATAATGCTTTTGGTAGTAAGGCCATTTTGACAATATTAATCTGCCTGTCTAGGAGCATGGGAGATCTTTTCATCTGCTGAAATTTTCTTCAATTTCTTTCTTTAGTGTTCTATGGCTTTCATGGTAGAGGTCTTTTGTTAGATTGATTCCCAGTTTTTTTGGGGGGGCTATTGTGAATAGGTTAGTTTTCCTAATTTCTCTTTCAGTGGATTCATTGATGATGTATAGGAATGTGTGTGACTTATGGGTGTTGATTTTATATCCTGCTGCTTTGCTGAAATCACTTATTCTAGAATTTTTCTAGTAAATTTCTTTGATCTTCTAGATATAGAATCATGTCATCAACAATTAGTGATAGTTCTTCTTTATCTATTTGTATTTCTTTAATTTCTTTCTTTTATCTAATTGCTCTGGCTAGAGTTTCAAGGATGATGTTGAATAGAAGTGGTGAAAGAGGACATCCTTGTCTTGCTCCAGTTTTTAGTGGGAATGCTTTCAATTTTTCTCCATTTAGAATGATGCTGGCCTTGGGTTTAGCATATATAGCTTTTACAATGTTGACATATGTTCCTACTATCTCTAGTTTTTCTAGTGTTTTGAGCATGAGGTGTGCTGTATTTTGTCAAATGCTTTTTCTGCATCTATTGAGATGATCATATGATCCTTGTTTTTAAGTATATTAATATAATGAATTACATTTATTGATTTCTGTATATGGAACAAACCTTGCATCTCTCAGATAAATCCCACTTGATCCCGGTGCACTATCTTTTAAATATGTTTTTGTATGTGATTTGCCAGAATTTTATTGAGAACTTTTGCAAGTATGTTCATCAGGGATATTGGTCTGAAGTTTTCTTTCCTTGATGTGTCTTTGTCTGGTTTTGGTATCAGGGTGATATTGGCCTCATAGAATGAGTTTGGAAGGGTTCCCTCCTTATCTATTTCATGGAATACTTTGAAGAGTATTAGTATTTATTCTTCTTTGAAAGTCTTGTAGAACTCAGCTGAGAGTCCATCTGGTCTGGGCTTTTCTTGGTTAGTAGGCTTTTGATGGTGTTTTCTATTTTATTACTTGAAAATTGATCTATTTAAAGCATGTATGACGTCATCATTCAGTTTGGGTAGGTCACATATTGTTAGAAGTTTGTTGATATCTTTAATATCTCCTATTTTATTAGAGTATAAATTTTCAAAATAGTTTGTAATTATCTTCTGTATTTCAGATGTGTCCATTGTGATATTTCCTTCTTCATCTTGTATTTTAGTAATTTGGAGTTTTCTCTTTGTTAGCATGGCCAGGGGTTTATCTATTTTATTTATTTTTTCAAAGAACCAACTTTATGTTTTGTCAGTTTTTCCAATTGTTTCAATTCCATTAATTTCAGCTCTGATTTTAATTATTTCCTGTCTTCTACTGCTTTTGGTGTTGATTCATTTTTCTTTTCC